CTAAAACTTTTTTGCGATTTACATCTTCATTCGTGTGCAAACATGGTAATATCTTGTTGATTTCTTCTCATGTTCTTAATAAACCGCCATCAATTTTTCAAGATTTCAAATGCAAAGATGCCCGAGACAATTGACGTGGAAGTCTCATTTTACTAATAACACTGGGATACTCTTCAGTGCTGAGTTTCAGAAATGGATACACTTCAGAAATGGGTACAACAGATTGCGAAAGCAAGCGAAAAAACCTAGTTCGAAATGGTTTGACAAAGTAGAGTGAGAAGATTGGGTTGAAACAAGGCTGCCAGTTCTGTACGCTCTTGTTTGGTGCCAACCATTAATTCGGCGCATCTGCGGCATCACTGGAGGCCAACTGAGTGGTCGCCAACTTGTTCGCGAGTACCGCTTAGTAAGATCATGGATATGATAATTTCAAATGCAAGATTTGCATCACCAGAAACTGCTTGATTCGTCATCCAGAAATAATTCCCAAAAATTCTTGTTTATGCTTGTTGGTGTCTTCAGTTCACCTGCGGCATAGTTCGGTGTACATCAGTGCAAACAGCCAAAGTTGCTCGCTTTACGTTTTTAAGCTTTGTAGCCATTGCAGGCTGCGCTCCAGAAATGGATACAACAGATTGCCGAAACAAGCGAAAAAACCCAGTTCGAAATGGTTTGACAAAGTAGAGTGAGAAGATTGAATTCAAACAAGGCTGCCAGTTTATAAACATCATCGCCAACGATCCGTAATCGTCCACAACCACACCGCCGTAGCTCGCGCTTAGGAAGACAATAAGTGGCACTGTTGAGCAAATCAGCGGTGTCGCTGCCTGAAATGATCGATGTTAAAAGGTTAAAAATTATCGAGAATTTACAACTCTCACAGTTCTACTTTACTGTTACCCTTACTTCTCAGCTTGTTGACAATCGTCAGAAGTTACGTATTAGTAGTTAGTGCGGCGAGAAATCTCGGACTCTCGAAGAGGTAGCGCAAATATATCGGACATACACCGGATACTAATAGGACACATGCAACTCAGGATCTAATGGTTTGGCTTAAGTTCCGACGAGCGTATAGGAACAAATAGTAACATCACCAATACGGGACACCCATACTGTTGGCCTGGTATTTTTGGTACTACTTTTTGTTAGTTAAAATGAACTAGAACTTAACGGAGACATTCAATTGCATGAGGGATTTGAAGGATTTTTACTTGGTATCATTGCTTACTGTGAACACATAGTGGTTTGATATGTGTGAATATCAAGCAATCCCTCTGTTTTCCTAACCTGATTCTTCTCCATTTTCCGCTTGAATAACAAATTTTTTGGCCTGTCCGCACTGAACTAAAAACTTTCTATGTAAAACAGAAAGTTTAAAACGCAAAAAGGATGGCGAACTAAATTTTTAGGCAATTTTTTTACGCCTCGTTATTTTGTTCCGATCAGTCGCAGTTCACAGCGTATTTCTTCAGCTGCGTAGCTAGCAACTTTTCCAGCTGTTTCGACCAGTACAGTTTCGGTGCTTATAGTCATAAAAAAGTACTGCATTCTTTCGTAATCTGTTTCCCAAGTTTCCCACAATTTTGCTGAGTGTAAATTTGGGTTGGGAGTCCCCTCTTTCCGCATGTACTAGTTATTTCTGCATGCGCTAGACATTCTTACATTGCACTAAAAAAATTGCTTTAGTGTTCCACTTATGGGACTTATTTGCCGTGAAGTGATGCACAAAAAGATAACTAATATCAAAAAGAAAGCAAGTAACTATGCAACAGCACCTGGAATAGCATAACGATGGTGAGCTGTCGTTGAAGCATTTTCGTTCTTGCTGCCGTGGCATTTTCTCGCAATGTTTTGAGTATACAATGGGATGTTATGAAAATGATACTGTATGAAATTGTCGTTGAAATGATGAACACGAGGCTTATCACAGCGAACACCCACATTAGCTAAAAGATTAAATATTTCAGCCCAGACTGGATTTAACTCAGACTTTTATCCCCTCAACCTCAGTAATCTGTTGCGGACAAAACTGTGGCTGGCATATCTGTGTTTTGATGTTTCTGATACTGTCAGTGCAGAACAACTGGCAGGTTTCTACGCACTGAATAATAT